GCGCCGGGGGCGGCCGGGAGGGAGGAGGCTGCTGTGCCGCCGAGGACCGCGACACTGCTCCTCTGCACCGAAGGCCGGTTGCTTTTGGTTGCGGGTCACTCTCCCTGAGTTGCACACCTCGGAAACTAGTCGTGGGGGGTACTTCGTAGGGCAGGAAGCAGCAGGCAGACGGGCGGCCCAGGGAGGGAAGGGTAACGCTAGCGCTGGGACGGATGGGCCGGTCGGAGGCAGCGCTTCCACCTGGCGCTCAAAAGGCCGCGTTTTATGCATAAAACAAAGGAGAGGTGTACCCGAGCCCACTCTACATAGGAAAAAAGTGTACTTTCTTATAAAGACTCGCTCCAATCGCCCCGCTTTTCTAGTCGCCTGGACGCGAAGCACACAAGTCCCCCACTGGCAAATCAAATTATCTAGGTCGGGCATCACAAGAAAAGTGAATGGGTAACCCAAGAAAGCCTGCACGTAGGGGACGTGGGAAAATCGGGCAGTTGTGTCAGTGCTTCTTTTTCTTGTCGCTTTCCCACTGGGCCCGTCCACGTCCCAGCGCGGCCCTGTGACGTTAGCACGGACACACCCAGGCCTGGCTCCTATCGCCCCCTGGCTTGTGCCCTTAGATTTCCAGGGCTGAGGCGCAGGGCCGCGTCCCCGAGTGGGCATGCGCGGCGGCGGCGGCGCGGGGGACGCTCTAGCGTGATTGGGCGGCCGGGACTCACGCTAGCCAATCAGGAGGGACGCGCGCTGGAGAGACGCTCCCTAAAAGTTTGCTCCACCTTCCACGGTCTTTCACCTGGACCCGGCCAGGAAAAAAGGCTCTTTGAAGTGGTTCTCGCCTCAACTGCTGAGTCCCCGGGTGAGACTGTTAACCGAAATCTCGTCGCTGCGGTTGCTTCATTTGAAGCCTTCAGCATAAACACAGAGCATACTGCGGAACTGGGCAGAGCCACTCCTGAGGCTGGGGAAAGATTTGACTGTTACAGAAGGAAGGAGATGAGTGCTTGGAGTGGAGCTAAAATTGCATAATACAGATTTTTCTCATTTTAACTGGGATATTCCGTTTGGGCGTCCCAAAAGGGATGAAGTCGCGATGCTTTGCTGAGTTCTAATGCTGTTGTAATTGGTTGCCAAGCAGTTTTGGAATCAGAAGTAACTCCATTCTGTGCCCTACAATTTGCAGTAGTATACAATGTTTAGGCCATATATATGTACAAGTATGTTTATTTATAGGCACCAGTCATCATATCCAGGAGTCAGGAAAAGATTTACCATTCTGAAGTAAATAGATGACTCAAAATTAAATTGCTAGTAATTTTTCTTGGTTGTTGAATCTTCTCTTACCAGTTATTTACCTTTTGCAAATAATGTAACGTACACTGTAAAAATGATAGATTGTCCCAATCAGAATTCTTCACTGGTTAAATGTAAAGCCTATACACTTTTGTTCTCATACGCAGTGTAATATAATAAGAAATTACCGTCGCGTGGTGCTTACAATAACTTTAATGCTCCACAAAACACTAAATTCCCTTACTTTAAGATATGCTTTAAGGAGTGGGCTTCCACTGGAGAAATTTGAGACTATATGAGTAGAAAAAATAATAATTACTATAATTAATTGAATAAAAAATTAGGTAAAGGAAATGCATGAGTTCAGAGTGCCACTAAAAATAAAAGAAGGAAGATGAAAATTTTCAGAGGAATTCTAGAGATTAAGTATAGAAAAAAAAAATTAGAAAGTGACCGTTTTCCAAATCGATTGTAATTGATTCAGGCAAAGTTCATCTGAGGATGCTAGAAGGCACTGGGTGAAAGATTGTAGGAGTACAGGATCTTCATATGGTCTCAAAGTATCAAGCCATAACTTACTGCAAAAGAGAAAATCACCTTTACCTTCAAAAAAAAAAATCACTGCCTTAAACAAGTGACCAAAGCTAGAATCGCTAATAATGGGACATTCTGGTATTATATGCTTACTGATGTCATGCAGTTAGAAATATACAATACCATTAAAGAACTATTCTTGCCAAAATTGTTTAACTTGATTTTAATCAAACTTCTAAACAGTCGCTCCCAACCAAAGAGTGGATCCTCACCCTACTCTTAACCTCCTACCTGCCCTGAGCACTTTGACAATATCTGGAGACATTTTTTTTGGCATAACCTGGGGGAAGGGGCCAGGGATTTAATGGAAAGAGGCCAGGGATGCATCTAAACATCCTACAGCGCACAGGCCAGCCTCTTCACAACAAAGAATTATCTAGCCAAAAATGTCAATCGTGTCAAGCTTAAGAAGCCCCAATCTAGATATAAGTGCAAATTTAAAAGGTATATAGGGGGTATTAAGAACAAGTTTAATGAAGAAAAAGGGAGATAAGTCCAGAATGTGGCATATTCTACAAGAAACATGGCCTAGATTGTTCAAATGAGCCATTGTAATTTTTCTCAAAAAAGAGAATTATTCCAGATTGATGAGACCCAAGGGACATGACAACACAATGCAATCTTGGATCTTAAAAAAAGAAAGAAAAAAGATTCAGTGGTATCGTCCTTAATCTTGGAAATTTTATGCCAAAGCATTTATGACTGAAGAGTTGTGGTATCTGTAATTTATTTTCAAACGATTTGGAATACATACACACATACACACACATATACACATATACTTTATGTATATGCATGTTCATGTATATAACAAATAACACGTATGTATGTATGAGAAAGAAGGTAAATGTAGCAGAATGTTAAAAAGTTAAAAATATATGGATTATACTAATTTTCACATCAAAATATTTTATTGGAATTATGTTTTGTATAGATAAGTTGGTGCCATGGAAAATGGTAGCAGCTGACTAGGCGAATAATGAATTTCTATTTTTAATAAGATAAATCATTTACAAAAAAAATGTAAAGTCTTGCACTCAGCTAAAAGTTGGGAGAAAATCTTAAGATGACAAAAGAGCTTTGTTAGGTACAAGAGGACAAAAAAAGCAGAGTTAAATTTATTGGATGTCAATGATATAAATTAACAGAAGAGAGATGAAGAATTATTCATCTCTGTCTTGTCCCTATTACTTCAGTGAAAGGAAAGGCTCTCAAACTGAAGCAGGAAAGAAGACAATAGATAAATAGGAATAGAAACCACAATAAAATGTGAGATAATAAGAGTACCTCGCCCCTCTGAGGCACGTTAAATTTTTTAACGATTATCCATTTACATTCCAGAGAATAAGATAACCTGTGAAAGACTTAAATGAGCCAATGCTAGGGAGCCCTGAAGAACTACTGAGCTCATCAGGAAATGTGCTAAACCTTGATAACAGAAAAAAAAAAAAAAAAAAATTATTGGTTTTAAGAAAGGGAAAAGATTCTTTTCAACAAGTGGTGGTAGGACAACTGGATGTCCGCATTCAAAAGAATAAAGTTGGACCCCTTTACATCATATACAAAAAGAAATTCAAGATCGATTATAGATTTAAATGTAAAAGCTAAAAATATAATACTCTTAAAAGAAAATGTGAAAGTAAATCCATGAAATTGAGTTAGGCAATAGATATGACATCCAAGCCCAATCGAAAAATGAAAAATTAGATAAATTGAGCTATCAAAATGTAAAACTTTTGTGCTTCAAGGACACTATCAAGGTAGTGAAAAAGACAACCTATAGAATGGGAGAAATGGGGTTTTCATTGAGAATATATAAAAAACTCTTACAACTTAATAAAGAGACAACTCAGTTAAAAAAAAAAAGGCAAAGCATTTCAACAGATATCTCTCCAAGGAAGATATACAAATGGTCAATAGGTAAATGAAAAGATGCTTAGTATCATTAGTCACTAGCAATGCAAGTCAAAAGCACAATGAGATACTTTACACCCACAAGAATGGTTATCGTTTTTAAAAAATGGACAATAAGTGTTGGTAAGGATGTGGAGGAATTGGAACCTTCATAATTACCTGTGGGAATGTAAAATTCTGCAACCACTTTGCAAAACAATTTCACAGTTGCTCAAAAAGTTAAACATAGAATTTCCATGTGACTCAGCAAGTCTCCTCTGTGTATACCCAAGAGAAACGGAAACATGTCCACACGGAAACATGTACATGGATATTCATGGCACTAATCATAATAGCTAAATAGTGGAAACAATCCAAATGGCCATCAACTGATAAATAGATAAAAGAAGTTCAGTTCCACAAACTAAAGACCAGGGACTTTGCTGTTAAACCATTAGTCATGATTCTAGAAGTTACGGTTTAAGAGAAAAATTAGGAAGAGGAAATGACATAGCTGCCCTCTAAAGATTTTTTGACTCCGATTTTTTGACTCCTAGAATTCTGTAATTCTAAGTCATGTCAGATGAACCTAATTTCCTTTAAAAAGTTTCTAGTAAGTACAAGGAATAGGGTGAGTTACGCTATGATAATAACCACAAAATATTTTTAATAAAAAAAAATAGTTTTTTTATATGTGCAATGTGAATGTCTGGAGGGTGGGGGGGAAGGCCTCTGATCATTGTGATCGTCCTTATTCCAGGACTCTGACAAAGCGCTAACCATCTCAACACATTGCTGACCAAAGCAGTAGATGGAAAGAAGGCTCTGGAGAACCTCACACCAGAAATTAAATGCCATCCCAGGAATAGACATGTGACAACACAGAAGTCAATCACCAGATGCCAGAGGTGAAGAGCCAGAAATATTCAGTGAGCAAGATTAATGGCTATGGTAGTCAATAAGGTCCTAGTATTGTTTGTAAGAACAAAACCCTGAAGATAAACAAAATTCCATCAATGGGGGAATAAGATAATGGGTATCATGAAGATAATACCAAAAAAATAAAAGCAGATCACTCTACTGACATATCGGTCAGATATATATGCGGATATATAAGGGAATAAAAGCAATTTTTAATATGATGTATTACTACGAATAATTAAGACAAAGGCAAAATCCCTGTAGAAAAATGGGCCAAGTATTTGAGTAGGCAATATACAAAAATAAAATGTAAGTAGTCCATAAATATGTGAAAGTGTTTAATCTCAGTTAATCACAAAAATTAAAGCAATGAAATATCAATAAATTCCATTTTCATCTAACCCAATGGCAAAAACTAGTAGGCAATATCAAATGTTGGCAAGAATATGGGAAAATTGTTATTTTAATACACTACTCATGGGAATGAGATTGATTACCATGGAGAATATTTTGGCAATCTAGTAACAGTGAAAATGTGTATACCTTGTGTTAAGAGCATTTTTATTTTTAGAAACTTATTCTAGAGAAAGATGTTCATTGACATTTAAAATAGAAGAATAAAAACAACTCCAGTATCCATTTGGGGAGAAATAGGTAAAAAAAATGTTATATTCATAAAATAGAATGTTCTATGCCAGTTTAAAGGAATACACTAAACCTCTCTATGTATTGGTTGGGTGGATGTCAACAGCATAATGCTGAATTTTAAAGAAGGCATCTTAATAAACATGCACAGAATGTTAATGTATATAAAAATTTAAAAGCACATACTTACATCATTGAAACATCCAACAGAGCTCTCTGCCATGATGGAAATGTTCTATACCTGCACTGTCTAATAAAGTAGCCACAAAGCACATTTGGCTACTGAGTGCTTGGAACATGATTAGTGTAATAGAGGAACTGATTTTTTAAATTTTATTTCAATTAATTTAAATTTAAATAACCACATTGGCTAGTGACTACTTATTGGACAGCACTGGTGTATTTATCTCTGGATGTATAGATGCATACATATGTATGTAGCAGTATGAAAATAGATTCGAGGGATGCACAACAAACTCAGAATACTGGATGAAGTGAGGAAGAAGGGAATGGATCTGAGGATAAAGGATTTTTTACTCTATCGGTAAAGTTTATTTCTTTAAAAAAGATTAGAAACAAGTATGACTATTAGTTATTGTTCCTTGAGTAGTAAGAATATAGATGTTTTTTATTATTATTTTATACTTTTTGTTATACTTTAAATGTCTCAAAAAAGCAAGTGTGTCACTGTTGTATTACATTGTACTTTATAATAATAATATACTTGTGCTGACTCTGTTATAATATTAATATAATAAAAATATAATCAATATGAAAAAAAAACAACAACAAGGAAACGGAAAGGAGGGCCAAACAAAGGGATGATGATAGTGACCTTCAGAAATTCGAAATAATCTCATTTAGAAGGAAATTTAGACCTATTGTCAGTCTCAGGGATTAGTCCTAAGGACTAAAAAGAAGATTTTGGCTGAACATAATAAAGAATTTTAACCTAGGAGCAGTCCAACAAGGAAATAGGCAGGCTCAGAAAGAGTGAGTTCCCCAGCAGTGGAGGTATTCAAGCCTCTATTAGGTGATCACTGGTGTGAACGTTATAGATAAGAATCCAAGCAGTTAGACTGATTCGTTGGTTTTTCAAAGGATTTTCTAAGGGGACCTAGTGCTTCAAGAACCATAGTGGGGGGCAAGGAGAAGGGTCAGCCAGCTGGAGTCTAGGCCCCCAAGCCCACTCAGAGCAGAACAGTATTCCTTTTATTTGCTTTTTACACTGCATTTTGATGAAAGATTTCATTTGAATAAAGGATTCAACGAATAATAAGAAGTTTTAAAAACTATGAGGCTAGATAAATAAATAAGTCATTCATTCAACAGTGATTTCTTGAACCCACACTCTGAGCCAATCGCTGTGCCAGGCACTGCGGGTGAGATCAGTGGTCATGAGCCCTGCCTTTGAAAGTTATAGTCTGTGTGAAAATAAAATATTGAGTTACTTATACATGGATAATTAGTTATAATTGTAATGAATGCTATGGAGATATCCAAGGCTCTCATGTATGATACCGTGAATCCATATTTTCATTATTAAAATGACTTTTTTTTTTTTCCTTCACCCAGTGGTATGATGGAACCAGTTCCTACCCACTCGTGAAGGCCAGTCAAGCACATCTCTTCACAGCCCAGCAGTCATGTCATGTTGGTGGCCATGGCATGGGTGTTTGTACCACAGTGATTGGCAAATGCTGCAAATCAGGTTTGTTTACTTTGTTTTCTTTTTCTGGAAATCCAGTTAATAAACATTTAATACCACACCCCTAGGTATACCTGTAGGAATGAGGGAGCTTCAGGAATAGAAGACATGGTGTTAGAAAACGAGCAGATACACAGATTCTTTGGGTTCAGGAACTGAATTCTATAGAGATAAAGATTCTTTTAAAATGGAAAGAGTCATGCTACTTTTCAGTTTGCACATTGTAAGAAAATGATAATGCTACTTCTTTACCCAGATAAGACAAGGGCAGAATCGTTTAAACCTAAGCCAACTCTCCTTCAGAGTCAATAGAAATCACTCCCCCAGCTCTAACACAATTGGTAGCCTCTGTAAAATGGCTGATTTTTAACTAACTTAACTTCGTGCTATATCTTTTGTATGTATTCTTGAATGCGACTGTTGTCATTTTCACAAAATTTATTTACCTAAAGCCTAGGCATGGGGAGGTAGCAATGAATGAGACCAATGGGATCTTTGCCCTTATAGAGATTTCATTCTGATTATTTAGGGATGAAACTATGTTTTTCACTTAGTAAATTAAATATTAGAGGTGCTCACTGCGGTTTTTATAACTACCACAAACTATAACAGAATATGAGCATAATTGGACATAAATACAGCAAAATGAGTTATAAGTGAAAAAAAGATTGAGAGAACATGCATAATACTAGTGTAGCTTTCTAAGTGGTTATAGAAGGATAATTTTATGTCCTTCTTTAAGTGAATTTGTGTTTCTAAAAGTAGCATGTATTACTCTTGTAAAATTATATGCAGAACCAGTAAGTATATGACAGAGTGAATTTATGAGACATCTTTTATTTTGTGAAATCCTGGAGTTTCACATATATGTGCAGTATGGTTGGTAGCTGTATCAATGTGAAGGTTTTTCTACCCTTGTTAAGGGTTTGTTATCTAATATACTGCAACATTTCTCATGATATATATTTTATATTTATATTATTTCTTTTGTTATTTATTATGGATGTCATATACAAATTTATTTTTGAAATACTATTTCTCTAATTTAATACTTAGTCGACATAGGTATTCTGCATCTTCTTTCCACTTAATCATTTCTTATAAGTCACTTAGTATTTCAAGTATCTTTTGTATTTCACTGAACATTTCTGAATCTACATCAAGTAGTTTTGATACATCACTGAAAGTGCAATAGATGTTGTCTTAGGACTCTTTGCTTTAAAAAACACTTAACTTAATGAAAAAAAAAATTAGAATGTGTAAAGATACAGAGGATCCTATAGAACCCAAGAGCAGAAAAGCAGTGGACTTCAGAAGGTCTGGAAGCAATAGCTGGAAGCCACTGGACCCTGAGGCAAAATCCAGTCTCAATATCTCTGCTGCTCCTTGAACATCTTTCTTTACTTCCTACTTTGCATGGCTGTATTTCCTTAGCTCCTGAGTTTATATGTTATACTTCCAGCCTGCAGAGAGACTAATGCTTACTCTTGACCCCACAGGGAGATTTCAGGGAAAGTACTCTGGCATGGCATGTCAGAGAGTGGGGTCACGTTTTACACAGAGCCTGCCAGAGGACCACTGAGAGAGAAGCAGGCAGTCAAGGGGGTATCTACCTGAGCAGGTACTCCCAAAGATATCCGTCACAGCTATATTGCTTCTAAATGTCTATAAATCAAAATTTTATTATGTGTTATATTTTAAATTACCCAAAGACCCTGTATTTCAAAAGAATGCTAGTTGCACCACTTATTAAAAAAATGAATCAATACAGTTTAACATATCTTCTGGATACATTTCAATTTTCACATATTCACTTTTTTAAAAAATAAAAATCACTGACGATCACAAAGGAATTGGCCTGTTTTGCTTTCACATCACAAAATTAGGCTGCATATATTTTAGTTATTTTATTCACTTCAAGCACTAAATTTTGCTATATTCCTTAGAGCCACTCAAATTATCTGTTAAGCTATTTGGGACAAAGAACATATGTATTTTGTGTTCACAGCATGATCTGATAGAGTACACAGGATGATGTGGTTTTAAAAAGAAATAGAGAATAGTCCCCCCCAAAATTTTTGTAGACTCTTTGTGTAATTTTCATGCTTGATAAAATCTGCTAAAATTACGTCTGATATTTTCTCACCTTCTTCAAAATTACCATATTCTAAATATTTTACTAATTGTTTATCCTGGCCTAACGTGCGCCCCGCCCCAGCCCCCACTTCAGACCTTCCCCAAAACTCAATCACTGTCATTTGTCCCTGCTCTTTGGTACTTAGCTACCTTTCAGCACACTGATAACACTTACCTAAACTAATTTGAATTTAGAGCTAATGTTTCACAGAAAGTACTTAAAAGAAAATATAAATATACTTTTTTCACTTTTTTCAACTGATGTTAACTCCTTCCCTTGGAGTGGTCAGATAAGTAATAAAATTAAATATATATATATATATATTTGGGGGGAGATCTTGTGGATGAGTAGTTTTCATCTAAATTAGTAAATGGTAGAACCAAGATTCCAGAGTATTCCAGAGTACTCAAATCGAGGTCTGTCCAACACTCACACCACCCTCTTAACCAATACACCATTCTGAGCATGTGGGACAGAGGAGATGGAGATCATTTCTAGGTTTCTATCATGAAATTTATATTATTTCTATCATAAACACATATTTCTGTCATGTGTGTGCACATGATATGAAATGGCATTGAGTTAATAAATATTTATTAAATCAGTCACATAGTGAGAAGGTAATTCCCCTTCCAATTCTTTTTCAGTTGGTAGAAGGGCCTCAATGAGCAGATATCAGTTTAGAGCAAGTATTTCTAACATCTAACACTTGCCAACGTCCCTTTTCAACAACAACAACAAAAAAAACAGAGCAGGTCTTAAGGTCAATATCTTCTGTAGACAACAATATCTAACTATCTTTTAATAACATTGCCTTGTTTTCATTATATTTTTTATAGTTATTCTATTTATGGCAAATTATTCTTGTTTTCTATTTACAAAAAGTTTCCTATCTAAATACACATAAAAATGTTTAAAAGTGACTGTTAAAAACATGTTAAGCAAATAATAATATTGGAAATATGTGAATATAGTAAAATTATGTAGGTAACCTGTGAATGACTAAAATTAGGAAAAATTGCATTATGTTAAACACCTTTTCCTTTTCTGTGAAATCTTGAACCATAATCTTGGTGCTAGGGATCAGTTATTTATTTTCCTTTATATTTCTGTCACTCTTCTGGTAGCACTGATCCCAGCCCATTCATATGCTACATTCCTCTCTCTCTCTCTCTCTCTCTCTCTCTCTCTCTCTCTTTCTTTCTCTCTTTCCTTTTATTCTTTGTACTCCTTCCCTCCCTTTCTTCCTTTTTCCCTGCTGTAGGAGTAGTAGCTGGCATATTGCCCTTAGATGGAATGTTAGTAGGCCACAAAAGTTGAGCTGAGCTTTGAGAGTCTGCTCTCACAGACCAAATCTTTTCACTGACTTTCCAATGCTAAAAATAATGAGAGCTCTGGATTACCAGTGAGGAGTCACCCCTGCTAATTTTTGCTATAAAGGAGTTAGGAGTGGAATTTTCTGAGCCTAGGGGAAATAAAGCTGATTCATATTCACTTTTATGCCTGAAATATCTCAATAATAAATAAAAGTTGGTTATTACTTATCAAAGCTTTGTGTTTTTACCCCTCTGCTCATTCAACACTATCCAATTAACATCTGAGCTCCACTTCCTGAGAAAGACCTTGCGACACAGGTCAGCTCATGCAGAAGAGGATCCTGTGAGCAGGATTAAGGGAGGTGTTGGGCCGATGGGTTCTATCTAGTTAGTGCAATTTTTTGAAAATTTGAGCTCATAACTCTCCTATGTTCTAGGTAATGGGAGTACTTTACAGTGTGCCTTGTACCTTTCTATGCATTAGCTCATTTAATCTTAACAGAGTTATTAGGAATAGTGTGTGTGTGTGTGTGTGTGTGTGTGTGTGTGTGTGTGTGTGTGTGTGTGTGTGATCCCTATTTTACAGATGAGGAAACTCAGGCCTAAATTTGCATAGTTGGTCAATGGCAGAGCAGGGGTTTCAACCAAACTTCAAATAAGAATTTATCCATCCTTCACTAGCTGCTCAGGCCCATTACATTTGTACATACCATTCCAACTGCATTTTTGTGATTTTTGTAAACTCCTAAAGCCACCCTGGATCTGGGGTGGAACGAGAAGACTTAGAAGTGAGAAAAGAGGTTAGGATTCAAGGAACAGCAAATAATAAAACAATAAACAGGACAGCCAGATTGAAGAGGCTACAGATCTCTAAATTTCAACAACAAAAAACTCCTGTAATGACGTTTTCAACTAGTTGCTTCAAATAAATGTTTTTGTAAAAGACAATAAATGGGGTAATTTTATCTTCTGCTTCTGCTTGATTTGGTATGAAGAAAAGAGAAGGTAACAGTTCAGTTTTAGACATAAGTGGTCCAAATCATTCCTCTGAATACCCTTTAAAATTTAAAGAAGCCAAAATCATTGTTAATTGAATGTTAATTATAGATAATTTATTAATGTGATCCAAATTTTCACAGACCTTATCTGCCTATAGGTTCAGATGAGACTACGTTAGTATTTGTGTGCCAATTTTACTGTCCTTCTTCACAACAGGACTACAGGACTTAGGTGTTATTGGAGTGCTCCTCCCCTAGGCCTGTGAAAGTGCCTCAGGAGCTAGCTGCGTATCACATTAGCAGCAAGGTCTTCTGTTCCGGTCCCTTGTTTCTGTCTACTGGCTTACAACCCACCAGAAGAAGGTACTTGGATATTACAACTGCCCATGAACTCTCTGAAAATACTGTTTCTCTGTCTAGGAGATTGTTCATTACTGCCCCCAAACCTGCAAAACCTCTAGATGTCAAACAGCAAATGTGTTCCCTCCATTATCTCCTGTGCATAAAAGGGAGACTGCCCCTCTCCAAATCCTGGTTGCACTTGGGTCACCGGGGACCCAGAGCAGCTCTGCTTACTCTGTGGGTCTTGGAAATTTCTTTTGAAACAGCTTTTGCTTCAGCTCTCAGATTCCCTAAACTCAAACAAGAAACTACGTGGAACCAAGGTGCAAAGCAGACAGTACACTGCCCTCTCTACCCTTCTGCCTTGCTGAAAACTACGCCCTACATCTAGCCGAGTAGGTGTCGGGGAGGTCACGAGCCAGCCTGCTTATCAGACATGCCTGCACTTTTTAACCACAGCCAGAGAACATCCTCTCCCAATATTAGTTTTAATAATTCAGATTTCTCATATATAAAAATTGCCTTTTTTACACCGATGGATAAACACATTAAATCCTTTTTCTAATCAATGAACAAAGTCAGACACATTTTATGGGATTTTTACATGGTAAATTACTATAGAGTTGGGATTCAGCAACTTGGCTTTAACTCCTGACACTAGAATAACTAGTCGAATGGCCCCACTTAGATCATTTCTTTCTCTGGGACTGTTTTTTCTTCAGAGGCTTGGATTTCCAAATAATTGCATTATAAAGTCCTCTGGATTCTACTAATTTTTATAATTTCAAGAGTTATTTTATTATTTCAAATTATTGGGAGGTTTGCAAATTGTGTTTTCAAAGATGGCTCCACCAATATGTTCCCCATCCCACATGCTCCTCTTACAATGTGACATTAGCAGGCTTCCCCTCAGAGGTGAAGTTATTTCCTCTCTTTTGGATTTCTGTGGCTTTCTGGACCATATGAATGTGCCAGAAGTAAGGCTGCTTGATTTCTGAGGTTAGGGGTCATACATGGCAAACTAGTTTCAGTGTTCTCTCTCCCTCTCTCTCTCTCCCCCACCCGCCCATCTCTCTTTCTCTCTCTCCCTATCTTATGCTTACACTTAGATCCCAGCCACCATATTGTGAGAAAGCTCAGGCCACACAGAGAGGCCAAATTGGTGTTCCAGCCAATAGCCTCAGGCCCCCGACTGATAATCACCAGCAATTGACAGACATGTGAGTGCATGAACCTTCAGATGATTCAGCCTTCAGTCTTCGTCTCTTCCAGCTGAGACCTCATGCATCGTGGAGCAGAGAACAGTTGAGCCTATGGTGCCCTTTCTGATTCCTGACCCACAGGAACCATGAGAGAGAATAAGTTATCATTATTATTTTAAGCCATTAAGTTTTGGGGTAATCTGTTAGGCAGCCAAAGTAACTAGAACCTGGTATATGAGAAGCTAACATGTATGAATTGCCTGCATGTATGTGCCGGGCACTGTGCTAGGCCCCTGATGTGCATCATTTCCTTTAGTCTGCACTGTGACTCGATATTTACCATTATACTGTATTATCAGGCATATCTGTGATTTATTTTATATCAAATTTTTGATCAATAATACAACTCCTAGATGTAACATTGCCCCTTGAGAAAAATAATTAATACTGTAAGATGTTCCATTTCCTAGTGCTGTTCCCAGAAGTGCCCCATGCTGCCTGAGTCATTCAAAGGAAAAACTACTGTGAAGTAACGAAAACCCATTTCAGGGTCGATGCTCAGAGAATCATGTTTTGATGTTGACTGAAGCCTGAAAAAAATTTTTTTTTTAATGATTAAAATTGAACTCTACACTGCCTTCCATCTCTAAGGTTTAATTCTGTAAAATTATCAATATATTATTTTTCAGATGCTTTTTGAAAACATGAGTTTTAGTTCTTGTTATAAAATATTCCTTCTGCCTCTTCTCTCGTAATAACTAATATCTATTTTTCTTAAGCTTTGTTACAGGTAAGAAGCATAAAAAAAAGTGGTCAAATGAGATGGAGGTGTTCACTCTTATAATTTTTTTAAAAATACATTTTTAAAGACCCTGATTTTTTACAGAAATGCATCTGGGGCTTATAGTGTTTGAGGAGGATACTTATTTCCCCAAATCAGTCTCTGTTATACAAAAATAAAAATAGTAAATATAGCAATATAGTATAGATATGCATATATATATTAATTTTATGCATTCATTATGACTGGTGCTAATTAGTATCAGACAAATTTTTTTAATTAAAAATTATTGAGGTGACATTGATTAATAAAATCAAATAAGTTTCAAGTGTACAATTCAGCAGTATGTCATATATATATTTCACTGTGTGTTTGCCTCTCAAAGTTAGATTTCCTTCTGTCACCAAATATTTGACCCCTTTTACCTCTATCTACCTCCCTCTTCCCCTCCTTCCCTCTGGTAATCATTAATCCACAGTCTGTGTCCATGAGTCTCTGTTTGTCATGGACTTCAGTTTTACATCCCATATATGAGTAAAATCATATGGTTTTCAACTTTTTCCTGTCTGATTTATTTTGCTTAGCATGATTATTTCAAGATCCATCCATGTTGTCACAAATGGCAGTATTTCACCGTTCCTTATGGCTGAGTAATATTCCATTGTATATTGTACCACATCTTCTTTATCCAGTCATCTATCATAGGACACTGGTTATTTCCACATCCTGGCCACCGTGAATCATGCTATGAACATCTCTGCAGATAAATGTTTTCAGGTTTTTTGGGTAAATACCCAGAAGAGGGATTCCTGGATCATATGTCCCACCAGCAGTGTAGGCAGTTCCTTTTTGCCCACAACCTCTCCAACACTTGTTATTACTTGTCCTATTGATGATAGCCATTCTAACAGGTATGAGATAGCATCTCATTGTAGTTTTGATTTGCATTTCCCTAATAGTGAGGTTGAACATCTTTTCATATATCTTTGGCCATTTGTATGTCTTCTTGGGAGAAGTATCTGTTTAGGTCCTTTGTCCATTTTCTAATTGGTTTGTTTGTTTTTTATTGAGTTTATGAGTTTTTTAATATATATTTTGGATATTAGGCCCTTATCAGAGGTGTTGTTTGCAAGTACATTTTCCCATTTAGATGGTTTTCTCTTTGCCTTATTGATGATTTCTTTTGCTGTGCAGAAGATTTTTAGTTTGATATAGTCCCATTCATTTATTTTTGCTTTTACTTCCTTTGCCTTTGAGGTCTAATTCATAAAATCCTCTCTTAAGTCCAGGGTCCTTGAGTTTAGTACCTATGTTTTCTTCCATGCAATTTATTGTTTCAGTATTCATATTCAGGTCCTTGATCCATTTGGAGTTAATTCTGGTGTGTGGTGATAGATAACAGTCTATTTTCATTCTTTTGCATAGACACAAACATTTTATTTGTTGTAAATGTTTTAAATATTTATTATTATGATTATGATTATTATTGTTATTATTATTGAAGTACTTGGGACAGAAATTCAACCCATATTGAATTCAAAGCAACAATTCAAACTGCTTTGTTTTATTGGTCATCAACAAATGGAACAGATGCAGTGTTTTGTTGACAGACAATATTCAGTGGTATATTGGATCTTGAGCTAGAAACAGTGGTGAATATTAAAGTCATAAATAATTCAATCCTTTGTAGCATCAGTGTATGACCTCGAAATAACCCTGTTCAATCTGAAGCCACTGGTAATGGCCCAAAGTTCGGCAAGGCCAAATCATACCCTGCCATATATAGTAACACCCTGTAATATAGAGTCTCAACAAAGAAAATACAGTTAGCATAATAATGAGGCATTAGCTGAAATGCACACAGAGTTGTTGACCTGAAACAAAAAAAATCTACAGAAAGAATTTGTTCTGAAGGATGCTGACAAAGTAATTAAAATAACTAGACAAATAGACCTAGCTTAAAATTTAGCAAGTCATACATCCTGTCTTAGTCACTTAACCTCTAACTTATGTTCCCTGATGCTTACAGACTATTTCTATTCAGTAGAGTAAATTCAGAACATTGTCATATTTAATTCTTGTGGTCCTGCCGCAAGCTCCTTTGTCTACTCCAATACCAAACTTCGCAAGATTTCCAGAATGCGCTAATGTCTTTTCCTCTTTGGCGGCTCTTTACTTGCTATGTCCTTAGCCTTGAATACACTTTTTTTCTCTGTGCCTCTGATTTCGTTTCTGTGAACCCTCACCTGATTTACCCAGACACAACTGCTGCCTCTCACCTCTATGTTCACGTATCATTTCGTATATCCATTTTCTACAGTTCTCACTGTACCACACTGATATCATTTCTGTATTTATCCATCCATTTCTCCTTAAAGGCAGGAACCATTATTTCATCCTTTTACTACCCGGTACAGTCACAGAACTTGATGGTCAACAGTATGGACTTGGAAGATAGACACCCAGGTTTCAATCCCGGCTCTCCCTCTTATTAGTAGTGTGATACTAGAATAGCTACTTAGCTTCTGACCCTCATTATCTCCTAATGGACTGCCCTAACAAGATTGCTTGGAAGATTAAATGAGATAAAATACAGTTATAATAACTGTTACACAGCAAGTACTCAATAAACATTGGTTACTGAATGTAATAAATGTTCGCTGTCATCTGATTAACTTGAAATGTTTATTCTATGTTAAATCAAACTAATAGAATGAAATTAGTGCAGTGATACCATTCATTCTTTCTAGATTAAAAGAACTTCACACTCTTATGATTGTTATCCAACACATCTCTATTGCATCATGGGCAGTAATAAAAAGAATCCATGGAGATATTATTTGACAATACCGTCACCTGTTCTAGGAAATCCTTAAATTACAATATGATCACCATCACCATAGTACTGATCCACTTAAAGCAAATTTACTCCCCACAATCTCACTCTATTAATATGAGAATATTTTTAAATTAATTTGTTAAAATTTAATATTAAAATGAGTATATTATTACCATTGTAGAAAATATTCTTTTTTATGATATATGAAATATTCAAACCATATGAACTTTTTAATATCTTTAGAAATGGTGGCTAATGGTAAAGAAGTAGGAACTGTGGAGGAATAATTTTCTATTGTTTTTTTTTTTTCTTATATAATACCACTGGCATTATGCTTAGCCCCATACTAAATAATGTGAAAGTCAGTATTCCAAAATATGCACCTACAGGCTCACATGAAACATAATTGCACAGCAGAGGCCAGAGTCAGGGATGTGACCCAGGGATGTTTGGTGTGTGGGAAGGTAAGTGGTCTCTGTGTAGAATCTGACTGTGCTCCCGCTACAGGGTTAGGAGCTTGAAGCATTTAGTATCTTTCAGTATCAGACTCACCCCGAGGATGAATTTTATCTGGATAATCAACCAGATATAAGTTTACCTTATTCACGGCCCTTGTCAGTAAGTAATAATGAGCTGCCAACTGCTTGAAGGTCCAGCCCTGACTACAGGACACTGGCTGAATGAAGTGTAAATGAAGTGCAGAGCAAAATGGTCAAAAGTCCTTCTCAGGGGACTGGAGAGTGTTTGCGAAACGGAGCAAAAATGAGCCTTGCCTCTCCCATCCGTGCCAACCTCCTTGTCCTATAAGATACTTTCTTCCCTGCCACATGAAAATGCAAAGTAACACTGAGATCTGCTCAACTACTTAAAACAGAGTGCGGGAGGTAAGAGCTGAATAATCATACTGTTCAGCGTTTCCCTCCATTATCACTGCTCTTCATTCCTTCTTGTACTTAAGCTCTTTTCAGAAATGGCAAGCAAACAGCCAGTGTAGTATTACTTTGAAATGCACACTCTATCTACAGATAGTAGGAGGTTTTGATCCTTATTATATATAAACTGTAAGGCTTTTAAAATGCAAGCCTCCTAGGAAAGCCTAAGCACATTCATTCATTCTCAGATTTAGACTTTCCAGTGGATGATAGCTTAAAAATTGGTTATTCTGACTTTAACAAAGTCAAATGGGATTTCCCAGTAAGTATTAATAAGTAGAATTAAATGGAATAGATAAAAATGTAAATTAATAATGCCTTAAATTTATACCATTTTTGGTCATTAGACCTCAAACTATTTATTAAGTATACTTTTTGCTCTTGTTGCAGCATTGTATAGGTGTTCTTTTAATCTTCATTTTAGTAATAAAAAACTTTATATTATATATAAATATATATGTATTTTTGAGCAAATATATATATATACATACATATACACACACATACATACATATATGTAGGAAGTTAGGTAACCGTCTTCTGGTAATTTTCATGGTGAATGAGATTAGAGGAGAATTCAAGGATCCTGAGCAATTCAAGTCAATAAATATATTAGCTGTCACAAATTCTCAACAAATAGCCCTGGATCAGACCCTTGTTATACCACTGAATGACTGAAAAGAGCAGACTTTTTTTTTAAAAGACTCATCCTGTTATATCTATAGGTGCCATTGGGTGGTAATAAGTTAGGGCTCACTAGAGTAGTCACAAGGATGTGACTCACCCATAGAGAAATCTGTCTTATTGAAGGAAATATATTCAGGAACATGCAGTCAAAAACTTCTAGAAATAATATTCGAAGCTCTTCTTTTGCGGCAAAACTTCCACCGAATACTTTCTCCAGTTCCTCTTATCCAATTCTCACTTAAAAGTACTCCATTTTGCTCCCATTACTCTATTAAAACTGCTCTTGGAGAGGTCATCGCAGACCTCCATAGTGCCAAATTCAGTGCTCAGTCTTTCTTCCTCATTCTTTTTGACCTATCAGCATTGACATGTAACACATTGATCTATCAGCCTTGACAGTGAGCATAGTTGAGCACTTCTGCCTTCCTGATATACATTCTTCACTCGGTTTCAGGATACTGTTCTCTTGATTTTTCTCCTACAAGAAAGATGAAAAAAAAAATCATAGAAATTGACCCCTTGGAAAGATTAGAAAATGTATCTTATGCTCAGAGAGGCTCTCTTTGCCAATGCCCTGTAAACCAAAATGCCTGAGGGTGCAGTGATCTGAAAGTTTTCAATACTATAAAAACAAAATTCTCTGCACCAGACTAGAGAAATGCAAATGAAGCAGAAGGTGGGAAACCTAGCATGAGATGAAACTGGCACTTAACAAAGCTTGATGCTCAGGCTCCTACCTAGCATCTCTTGTTATGAATTCTCTTCTTGCAAAAAGGGATAAATATTCTAATTGCAAATGTTCAGTGGGCTTGCAGCTTTGGGGCAAAAAGCTGCTTAGTTATTGTCTCTTCACTTGCAGACCATATGTTCACTGT